GGTGCTGATTGCGAATAATTTTTTTAGATTCGTCTGTGCCGCCTAGAAAGGAGATGTACGTTCTTCAAAAAAAATCGGAAGAAGCGAAACCGCACCAGTGTGGAGACTGTCTAAAGAGGTATGCTCACAAAGGCTCACTGATTACGCACCTGAAATACAAATGTGGAAAAGAATTTTCGTGTCCTGAAGAATCCTGCACTTATAAATCAAAATGGCGAACAAATTTGAAACGGCATATAGCTATGCATCATTGCAGTTTGTACCCCGCCATGAAATAAAACGTACAAGTATTGAAACAAAAACAAAAACAAATAATTCACATTTAAGTTTGTTTGTAATTGCCCGTGGGGGGTAGTTTTGGTTTTTTTCCTTCTCTAGTTTATAATGAGTAGAATCTCATTCAGGTACTACAGTCAAAATCTGTTATAACGACACCGAAGGGACTACTCATATTTGATCGTAAAACCCGATAGTCGTAATAGCCGGTGACGTTATCATTAAGTACTTAATACCTATTAGTGAATGTGTAATTAATATATTCAAATATAAAATAAAACTACATAAAACCGTATTATAAAAAGACATTACGTACATATAATTATCATTTTTCTGTATTAATAAAACCTGGAATTTTAGTCTGTTTGGAACACTTCTGTCGTGCGTACAGACTTTGTAGTTCACGTTTAATTTTAATTAATGTATCATCATAATTTCCCTGCATTTGAAACTGTTCATTAGAATTTTTCGTAATACACTGACAGCATTGAGACCATCATTCAAAGTTGGCACTGTAAATTGTTCTTCAGTCTCTTCCTGTTCGTCATTTTCCTCTTGAACTCCTTGTACAATATCATCTTCCGTAGCTGGTGCACAAATTGCAATAAAGTTATCTACATCAATAAACTCCTTAGCTTCAGTAGCAGATATTCTGAGAATTACACTAGACCCTAAACTCGACACGTTTTTGTTTACTTTTGCGATCTTAATGGTCATTTACTGTACCAGATGTGGATACTGTTACCTATTCAAATGCTTACAATACAGCTGGTCGTTCTAACAGGTATAATTCTCCGAAAATATCAGTTAAATGTAGTCGCTTAAAGAGATATGTCGTAATAAGCAATGTCGTAAAAACCAGTGTTTTTTTATAAGGCGGTCTAACAGAATTAAGCCGGGACCTATGATTTTGGTCAATATAACCGGTATGTTGTTCTAAACGATGTCGTAGTNGGCAAAACTGTATAATAGCTGGTGGGAACTACTTTTAAGAGGACAAAATAGATATTTACGAATAAATAAACATTTTTTGAAAAAACACATAATTCGCGATACTTTTTGAATAAATTTCGTATATCAATTTACATTGTGCATCTCTTCCCTCCTGCTGAATTATAGTCAAAATCTGAATGACTGACACCGAAGGGACTACTCATGTTTGGTCGCAAAAACCGATAGTCGTAATAGCCGGTGTTGTTATTAAGTACTTAATACCTATTATTGAATGTGTGATTAATATATTCATATATAAAATAAAACTACATTTATTTATTTCACATAAAACGTATTATAAAAAGACATTACGTACATATAATTATCATTTTTCTGTATTAATAAAACCTGGAATTTTAGTCTGTTTGGAACACTTCTGTCGTGCGTACAGACTTTGTAGTTCACATTTAATTTTAATTAATGTATCATCACAATTTCCCTGCATATGAAACTGTTCATCAGAATAAAAAACAATTTTTCGTAATACATTGACAGCTTTGAGACCATCATTCAAAGTTGGCACTGTAAATTGTTCTTCAGTCTCTTCCTGTTCGTCATTTTCCTCTTGAACTTCTTGTACAATATCATCTTCCGTAGCTGGTGCACAAATTGCAATAAAGTTATCTACATCAATAAACTCCTAAGCTTCAGTAGCAGATATTCTGAGAATTACACTAGACCCTAAACTCGACACGTTTTTGTTTACTTTTGCGATCCTAATGGTCATTTACTGTACCAGATGTGGATACTGTTACCTATTCAAATGCTTACAATACAGCTGGTCGTTCTAACAGGTATAATTCTCCGAAAATATCAGTTAAATGTAGTCGCTTAAAGAGATATGTCGTAATGAGCAATGTCGTAAAAACCAATGTTTTTTATAAGGCGGTCTAACAGAATTAAGCCGGGACCTATGATTTTGGTCAATATAACCGGTATGTTTTTCTAAACGATGTCGTAGTAAACGGTTTTGACTGTGTATGGTTTTTTTTTTAAAAAGTACCGTTATGATTAATATGTTTTGATTCTGCGATGATGGAAGGAGTTTTGTAAGATACCAATGTATATTAAGTTTTATTTTGTAAGATAGTGCAATATTATATTCAAAAATACATTGAATTTATCTAGAAGCATTTATGGCATTATTTTTGTAAAGCAAATGGGTAGGTGATATCGTAATGTTCATTTAAATTTAAAATAATTCACCACCGTCAAAGAATGTACAGGAAGGACGAAACATACAGGTGGTAATCATCTTCAATAGTTTCTGTGGATTAAGAAGCGTTACATTTAATATTTAGGTAATAAAATATTGTTATTTATCGCCCTGTATCTTCAAAGTATTCTTAAAAATCACCTAGGGAATAATTCCTTCAAATTTTGTAGTGTGTTTAATAAGCACCCTATACTTAAATATATGTAATTTGTGAAAATAAAACTGCCATTTGAAAAATTGGATTTTAATTGACACCAATGTTCCTACTATCTATACAATGCCCGCAATTGATCCAACGAATAACTTTTTCTTTATTTTAGAACTTGATTGCACCGACTGTGAAATGCAGGAGAACGAAGAACATTATTCCAAAGACTACCCTTGTCGGGTTTGTGGAAAAAGATACAAATATAAGAACAGTCTTGACAGACATCGGAGGTATCAGTGCAATGGGGCAGCACCCCAATTCTTCTGCTCCATTTGCGAATTGAAATTCTATTATAAGAGCAACCTTAAAAGTCATTTAGTGCATAAACATAAGCTGACGGTCATGTAATACATACACAACAAGCTGTGTGGTCTAGTGGGAATTCTTTTTGTTCAAAGGTTACGTGCACATTGAAAATTTATTTAAATACTTATGAATAAAGAAAAAACGTCATGGTTTTTTGTACCATATTAATTTTAAGATTACATTTTTATTTATTTGAACTGTTGAAGTGTTTATAAAAAAGTTTATTAAAGAATTAGACTGTCATAATAAATCGAACTAACTATTTATTTATTTAGCAATATAATTACTCCACCATATTCATATTCATATTCCAC